GTTATATTGAAATATTTGAGAAAAATGGTTAGCCGTGGCTGGCAGGGAAGTAATTTTGTTACACGACAATGCACTTGCACACAAACCAAAATCTGGTCAGGATGCAGTCAAACTACTTGGCTGGGATCTGTAATCACCAGACGGGGCCCCTTCGGTTATCATTAGTTTGCARGAGCGCATTGGCTGAGCAGCCCTTCGATTCCTATGCAGAAGGCGAAAATARAATAAAGCAAACAATTCGCTTCAAAAGACGACATTTATATTGGTATGGTCCACAAATTGCCAGAAAAGTGGTCAAACTGTGTAAATAGCAATGGTGAACACTTTTTTTTTTTACTTTCCGATTTKAAATTAGTATTTCATTTTCGCGAAAAAACGCTCAATTCATACCAACACACCTGTTTTTTAAAAATAGGAGTTAGTGAAATTGATTTCGAGATCTATGGTGAGTATACTTAATAGTAGATTAAGTAGTAAGTATTTATTATAAGCAAACTTTACAATTTTCATTAGTTTTCTGATGTTTAAATTAATAATTGTTATTTTAAATGAACTTAGTATTTACTCTTAAAAAGTTGTCGCTTTACGCAAAAGTATTGGAGGGTGGAGAGAGCCATGTGTAGGAGTTCACGCAAGTGAAAATCTAGTTGGAGCTTACATTTACTAGGGAGTGGCCAGAAACGATTCTTTTACATATCAGCTCACGTCTTCAGGTCTTAGACCAAGTATCCACCAGGTAGCCAAATATCATCCGCTTGAAGGCCAGCTAAAGGAAAAAGACGAAACATTCCTTACCATGGTTTTTCGTTGGGTTTGGAACCCGCCACGTAAAACACCCCTCGATTAACAGGAAACAAAAGCCTTGGATAAGAGACCCCCTTTTGATTAAAAGGCATGCAACTAGAATGTCCGGTCCTTTATTTGGGAAGATACCGCCGTCCAAGAAATACGATGGACTGGACAAAGACTGAAAGCAGATCATATTCSGTGTGGGATTCGGGATAGAAGACAGCTTTCAGTGGATGAACTTCTTCTTGAACATCTACCCAAAATCCGCATCAAAGCCAAGTTCTTAAATATATCGCTGATTTGCGCCCATGCCCCGACGGAAGAGAAGGACGATGTGAACAAGATGTCTTCTATGAGTGYTTGGATCGCAACTTTGAGAGCTGCCCCCACCACGCTGTCAAGCGGATTAAATGCCATTGTCGCCAAAGAAGGTATCTTTGGCACAACGGTCGGTAAATTCAGCCTATACGATGAAGCATACCCAAATGGGTTGAGGCTGATCGACTTCGACGGGTTCTGAAATATGGGTATTTGCACTACTAAATACCAGCATAGGAGTAGTGACTGATGCCCAGAGCATACCGAAAGAGGAAACTTAACCAGCCTACTGAATGGCAGTGAAAGCAAAAAGCGAACCCGATTACTCAATCGATGATGATGGATCAGACGTTCCATTATGCGACCATGAAGAAGTTTGAATAGTAATTACCCGCCTGMAGAACAACAAAGCGGCGGAGTCCAATGCATTGCAAATTTCAAACAATCTACAAAATGGCAAACTACACAATCTGCCCCAAATGTTGGTATAAATCTTCTCAACATCGGATATACGATTTTTTTGAGCGTACTTTGTGGGACATTAAATCTCACTGCCAACAAAATAATTGCACCTTATCAACCTTACTGATGTAGGCCTGAAAAATTACTAGATATTCACCATGCGTCAAATCTTGTAAAAGACCCGTGAAAAGAAAACCGACATGCACCTCCTCTTCGTCGATTTCAAAGATGCTTTTGATAGCATGAAAATAAGTTGCCTTTACCTTTACGCCGCTATGTCTAAATTTCAATCTACTTCTTCTTCTTAATTGGCGTAGACACGGCTTACGCSATTATAGCCGAGTTAACAACAGCGCGCCAGTCGTTTATTCTTTTCGCTACGTTAGACCAATTGGATATTCCAAGCCTAGCCAGGTCCTTCTCTACCTGGTCCTTCCAACGGAGTGGAGGTCTTCCTCTTCCTATGTTCGAATACCTTCAGAGCTGGAGTGTTTTCGTCCATTCGCACAACATGACCTAGCCAGCGTAGCCGCTGTCTTAATTCGCTGAACTATGTCAATGTCGTCATATATCTCGTAAAGCTCATCGTTCCATCGAATGCGATATTTGCGTGGCCAACGCACAAATGACCATAAATCTTTCGCAGCAACGTCGACTCATCAGTTGTTGTCATCGTCCAAGCCTCTGCAGTGAACGRGTATTATGAGTGACTTATAGTGACTTATAGAGTTTGGTTTTTGTTTGTCGAGAGAGGACTTTGCTTCTCAATTGCCTACTCAGTCCGAAGTAGCACCTGTTGACAAGAGTGGTGTTTACGCT